GACAACATAATGGCACTGCCTAGGCCCTATAAAAGAATTACAGTCCTCACTTCTGTTGGTGCAGAGACACCCTTAGATGCTATACAGTCATTTTATAATTCTAGGGATTTACATCTTAGGGTTTGCGTGAAAGCGTGCCTGTAAAATAGCCTCATGTTTAAATGTTTTCAAGTTTCTCCAAATAAAATAAATTCAGCGTAGTGATCTAATTTTACAGGACATTCTAATTAATACTTTATCCAATAATTTTCAATTATATTTTCACTTTTAAAAAGTTACCACCAGCTGATGGTGTTCAAATCTCTCATCCAGTATGGTAACTAGTTAGCTGACACCCAATATTTACTATTGATCAGGTATAGTCAGACTCTCAGTGCAACTACTACCATCCAAACAATGAGAATCTTATAATACACACAGAAGCAGGAACACCTTTGTATAGATATACCAACTGGAGTACCAGTTCAATTTCAAAGCTTAAAAATGGCTAGTTCAGGGTTTGAGAAACAAAAAGCAGTTTTTTGTGCTGCAGACAGACAATACCCCATTATCTAATCTCAGCCTTGTTTACTGTTTTAAGCCAATCTATTTAGCATTTTTTGGCTGTTTCAAGCTTCATATTGGCTACGAACTTGTCTCTCAGACAGGATGTACCCTTCTCAAACTGTGGTATACCTGACAAGGCATGCCCTCCAAATCAGAGACAGAACAAACTAAGCATTCCTTCATCTTTGTATTTAATAAAACCAGACTGATGGCTCACTATTAGAAATGCAGCATTTCATAGCACAATTTCATTAGTTTAGAATCAGACTCAGAACCAACAGGTAAGTGCTCTTCAGCTTATTGCAATGTCATTATAAGCCCTGATACACAAGTAAAGAAGAATTTTGATATTCTTTGTTCATCTGGCAAAATGCCATGAGAATATAACCATGTTCTTTTAACTAGTCTCCTGCAAAATACAGCACATTACAGCATGAGTCCTGTCCTAGCCTGCTATTTCTGCTCTTTAGGTCTTTTACCAAATGGGGTCCTCCACAGGGCCTTGTTGAATGTTACTACAGTGCAAAATATCAGCTGAAACATCTCTTAAACTAAAGTGCTGTGAAAGGAGCACTTGTAAATAATTGGTATAACTGATACAATTATTGGAAATTAATCTGACAAGTATCTTGCAAGCGTACCATTAGACTGAGCCTTGAACACTGAACATGAGGTCTGCATTCATAAGTTTGTCACACACTGAATCATAGATGTCTCTGTGATAAACAGCCTTTCAAAAAAGCAAACTGATTGAGCACACAAGCTCTGTAAGGAAGCAAAGTCCCAAGACTTTGAGGGATAGGGGAGCTTCACAGCTTAAAGATGCCAACACAAATGCTGCTCAAACACCACTCTGGTCTAGAGCATAGAGGGAAATGGAAGCTATTAGCTCTTGCATAAGTAAAAGTCAGTCTTCTCTTTCTTTATTGTTTGAGGAAGGTGGATTCTCACCTGGAGGGTTTGTTTTCTTTGTAAGGTTCTGAGGTCCTTCAGCTGCTCCAAAGATGTTAGATGACATCTTGTGTGATCTGCTGGAAGAAGTGGTGTCTTCCGGACTCCCAAAAAGATTACTGGAGCCTCCTCCTGGGGGTTTCAGTACCCTGTGGTACAGATCATTAGTAGACAGGTATGAGACAAGATTCTACTGAATGCAGGAGGTTTTAAAATGTTGTCATATTTCTCTCTGCCCCTTCCTCAATTTAAGATTAAGCTGGCTTGAACATCTTGAACTGAACATACTTAATTTGTTACACTACATAGTTTTGAATTAACAGACAAGAGTTAAGGAAGTCACGTGTAGTTTAATACTTAGAATTCGTATACATAACCTCTGGTACCTAGCACACATTCTATGATAAGGATCTATAAACTAGTAATAAGCAGAAGCAGGTTTTTTATCTGCCTCTTTCACCAGAGCATTCAAAATATAAATTAAGATATTCGATTAAAATATTCAACAGTTTTGCCTAAATTTGATCGCTTTGTGACCTTGCACTAAGTAATACTGACTTGAAAGGCTGTAGTCCAGAAGTTAGATACACCTCTTATCTCAACACATCCCCTAGGTACAGACAGGACATTCATTAAATGGTGGTTATATAGTAAAATAGGATCAGTCAGTCAAGACCCTCAAATAGGCATAGATAATATGCCTGTGCGAATAGGGAAGTATTCGATTCAGATTCGGCCAATTCAGAGGACAGTTATTTGATTTGGTGATTTGAAACACTGTCCCCATTTGAGTTGGCCAAATCAGAATTGGAGATTCTGAGATTCCAATGATTCAGAGATTCGGATAGCCAGGGAGAGGCAGGCACAGCCCAGCAGCATGGGTGCAGCGTGGCTCGACAGTCAGCCAGAGCCTGGCACCACTCAGCCCCAGCTCCCAGACAGCATGCAGTGCCCTGCCGAGCCACGCTGCACCCATGCCACGGGGCAGCTGCTGAGTGGGTGCCAGGTGGGGGGAGGGGCAATCCCCGCTGTTCCCCAACTGCCCTGCACTGCGTGGGGGGGCTCTGCCATGGAGCCCTCAGAGGCTCCGATTGCCGCAGCTGCAGTTGGCGAGTGTGGGGCTTCCTTTTTTTTTTGTGCAAGTGCCCAGAGGCTGGGGCCAGGCAGGGGATGGGGCTGTGCCGGGGGCAGCCATGGGAGCTTCTCCCAGTGGCTCCCCCACCTGGGAAGAGGCAGGCACAGCCAGAGAAGCATCACACAACCCTAATAGATAACTACAAGCTTATTATCTCAGCAGCCTTCAACTCCTTGCCCGGCACTATGTGGGGGGGCTCTGCCATGAGCCCTCAGAGGCTCCGATTGCCGCAGCTGCAGCTGGTGAGTATGGGGCTTCCTTTCTTTTTTGTGCAAGTGCCCAGAGGCTGGGGCCAGGCGGGGGATGGGGCTGTGCCGGGGGTAGCTATGGGAACTTCTCCCTGTGGCTCCCCTGCCTGGGAAGAGGCAGGCACAGCCAGAGGAGCTGCAGGAGAACCTGTAGCCGCCTGGCTGTGCCTGCCTCTCCCCGGCCGATCTGAATCTCTCCAAATCCTTTCTGAATCAATTCGGAGGCCTCAGATTCGATTCGGATCTTTTAATGGGTCTCCCAATTCAATTCGGATTCAGAGATTCGGGCTGAATCTCCTACGAATCGAATTGGCGACCAAAGCTTCACACAACCCTAATAGATAACAACTACAAGCTTATTATCTCAGCAGCCTTCAACTCCTTTCCAGAAGTAGAAGATATATAACCATTTAAGACAATGGGAGTCAATCTTTTTGGCCGGTGTGTCACAAATTAGTCCCACCCCCTTCCTAAATGCGACTCTGATCACCCTTTTTTTGCCCAATTTCCTCCTCTGCTTCTTGCCATGTGCTCCCTTCTGATCTCCTATTCTGCTATCTGCCCTATCTACTGCTGTACATCACACAAAGAGGCTGCCTGCACCACTTGAGCTGCACGTTGGCCATTCTGGTCTAAGAGAAAGGTAGCAGCAGCCACACATGGAAGCCAGAGCTGCAAAAAGGAAAAGCTAACTTGTTTAACATTGTCAGACTTTGGCAATGCGGGACAGGAAAAAATCCACCCAGATCAGCAACATACTTTAAGACTTTTCTTTCTTAAGTACTTACTCCCCAGATCTAAAAATAAAAACCCCATCATCTGGCTCAGTCTCAACCAAGTTGTTCTTTATCCAAATGCTTGACAAGGAATAACTGAATAATTGCAAGAGCCTTGCTCTGCTCTAGATTAGATCAGCCTTCTTTCAACATGTCCAAAAGTTAACAAATCCATGACACGACACATCTCCTTTATGAATGAGATTATACCATCAGATATTTACATTGCAGACACTAAATTAAAACATGAAAAAGTTGAACTCTGTGCTGAGCATGATAAAAGCACCTTCTAAACCAAAGATTTATACTCAAGTGGCAGTGTTGTGCCTCATGGCTGGCTGCTAAATATCACCAATTCTGTGCAGCTAGATCTTAGAGCAGAGGTGGCCAAAACACGGCTTGCCGGCACTGTTTGTGTGGCTTGCTAAAAGTTGGCTGAAGCCCCACCCACTTCTCCTGGAACTGCCGGCTCAGGCACTGGGGCTGGGGCTCTCAGGGTGAGTAACTCTGGAGACCCCAGTCTTAGAGTTACACAAAAGGAGTTTGTTGGCATTTTAAGATCCCCCAAAGAGGGCAGCTCTATTCTGTTATAGCAGGACAAGGTTCCTCTTTTAATTTGAGAATCAGAAGAGGCCTGTGCTCTGTTTTACTGGTTTTACTGATTAATTCCATTACTTTACACTCTCACCTTGAATACAAGTTTAATCAATTTAAATTTGCAGAGATTATTAGCTAAAAGCTCAATAAGCAAGGCATCTGATGTTTCTTCATTAAATTACTAGTTTATTTGAAGCTGAATTTTTATTCACAATTCGAAACCAGTCTCCAGCTGAAACCTCGCTACACATTTTCTAGATATTTTAAGAGCTAAATTGCTCTAAAAACATGCACAAGATAGCCAAGTTGGCTTTATGCAAATATTGTATTTACACAAACCCAAATTATGGTTTGGGGCCATTTGAGAGATCAAAAACCATAAGAGGCAGTTAGATTAGTTTGTTTCCAACCTAAATACAGGAGCTGAGGGAAGGGATCCTGTCAAGAAGAGCATATGAGGACATAAATTCTAACAGAGCCAAGTGAATGATCAACTTTTTCTCTACTTGCTCTTTTTAATAACTATCTCCCTTTCATATAAAAGTTAGAAAATATTAAATCTAAATATTCTATCAGATACAAATAGGGAAGAGGAACACAGCTTAATTAAAAAAAAATACCATTGCTCTGAGCCTTTCTGGATAGGACAGAATAAAATATACACATGTACAATATTTCTTACGGTTGCAATCCCCATTGCTTAGTATGTGTATGCTGAAAGTATCATTACTACACTGGGAGTATAAAAAGTCAAACTGCAAGAACCAAATTGTTTATCTATGGTCTACATAGCCCCAAACCCCATCAACTCCATGAGAAAAAACAAACAGAGGTTCTTCCAGATATGACTATTTGGAAATCCTGTAGCAGCTTCATCTGAAGATCATACTGCATTTAATATTAAAATTGGCATGTCATGTATTCCTCACATTCAACAGCAATGATTTTTACATTGCTAAGCACTCTGAAGTCATTAGGAGCTAAATTGTAGGTGTGCAATGGAGGAGCACCAAATGCACAAGAAGCAGTTTAGGATTTGTAAAAACAGCCTCCTAGTTGTACTGATGTTAACCAATATTAACATTTTTTGGCTTCAGCATACAGCCCTTAAAGCTAATGTTTAGACTCTCTGCAAACTTAGGCAGATTTATTGATTTCTGCCATTTCAAATCTGCTGGTCACATTTTTCCATACGTCTTCTCAACACTGAGAGGCAGAAGAAAAAGTCTAGCTGAGCAAAAGCTGATTCCTAAATATGATTCAGCAAGCACTAGTACAAGTCTTCCAGGATCAGACAGCAACAACAGACAGAAAAAAAAGCTGTCAACTCTGCAGTGCTAAGGCATATGTACCATAGGCCTAACAACTACATCTACAAAAATCTGACTAACGCAAAGCCAGGCAAGGAAACCACTTACTGGGAATAGCCATTTAAAGTACTTTGGGATGATAAGTAATTGTAATATATAGGGGTGCACTGATAGAGATTTTGGGGGCTGATACCAATAGCTGATTTTTAAAGGAGGCATATCGGCTGATACTGATCCAATTTCCGATATGCAGCCTGGCAGCTTAAAAGAGCTGAGTCCAGCTGGTAAGTTTGTTGTGGTGGAGGGGGAGGAAGGAGGGAAGGGGTGTGGGGGGCAGATGGAGGCCCCTGTGGTGAGGGAGGGAGTGGGGCTGTGGCTGAGGCAGGCACTGCCCAGCCAGGGCAGGGTGGGTGCAGGATGGAGCCACAGCTCATCCAGGGGGTGTGGGGGGCAGCTCCCACCACTGAGCACACCCTGGGATGGCATGGGGGGCACATGCCCCCTGGATCTGCGTGAGGCAGGGTGGGCTGCAGCTGCAGGCTGGGCCTGGGGTGGCACTGAGTTCTTCCAGGCAGAGGCTGGGCTGGGCTGGGCTGGGCTGGGCTGTGCTGGGGGAGGTGGTGGTAGTGGTGCTGGGAGGGGCGTTCAGCGGGGGGTGGAGGGTGGGAAAGAGGGTGCAGCCACACCAAAATTCACCCCCCGCAGCACCGCCACCACCTGCCCTGAAGCACAGCCCCAGCCCAGCCCAACCCTCCCCCCATGCCAGGAAGAGCCTGGCACAGCCCCTGCCTCAGCCAGCAACAGCAGCCACCTGGCCTACGCAAATTTGGGGCACATGCCCCTCCCACGGTGCCCTCCCTGGGCGCATGCCTACATGCTGTGCTCATGCACAAGCATTAATCAGCCAAATTATCGGCTACATCAGGATGATTTCTGATACAGTCAATTTTCTTTATGTCGGTGCTGATCCAATATCAGACCAATGTATCAGTGCACCTCTAGTACTGTAGTGAAGACCTCTACCCTTGCAATACCCAGGAGGATAAGGGAAGGCTCCATGCTGAAAGAATGGAAAAGCTCCTGTTCAGCTTTATAGCTCCTGGACCTTATTTGTCTTCCAAACACCCCTCCTTAGTTTAACTGGAAGTAGGTTAACAGAAAAATAAGAACTGCTGCACTGATCACACAAGAGGCAAAACATATCCCAGTTTCCAAAAGGTGCTTCAGAAGCATGCAAGAAGCCCAATTAGGCTTCTTAAAGCAGGTTTTCATTAAGGGGAAAGATTTATGCAATCTGAAGAGAAACGAGAGTACACTACTTTTCTTATCAGATTTTTTTCCTTTGCATCTCTGAAGGCTGACTACTTATTTGGAGGGGGGTGCAGGAAGGTATATTAAACTCTGCAAAGCCTAAATCTATCATGTATCAAATTGACTAGAGATGATCCACTAGGCTGGTAGTTTGACAACTCACAGAGGAACTAAATGAATGCAGCTGTTTAAAGCTTCCCTTAAGGGCCTTCTGAGACAAGAGCAGAACAAGCCGTATCCTCTTGCTCCCCTCCCTATCAGGCTTCAAGAACTTTTGGTTTTACATCTTGTTTTCTAGAACTGTAGTCATTTCAATATGTTTAAAATGCCCCACTGTTTCAGTGATTACATAAACTGACTAACTCTGACTCCCTTTTAAATATGCCTGGTACCACAGGGATTCAGATTTAGGAAGATTTATTTTGCCATTCCAGTGGTAGCTCATAGTCGCCAGGGAGATTTTGAATTAGGAGTCCCTTAATTAAAAGTGGTCTTAAACATGAGGGGCTGCAAGGAAGTCTTTATCATCCATGAATAAAGCTCTATTTGAAACGGGAATAAGACTTGAAATAATTCCTTAGCGATTAGTTACTTAACCTCTTGTGAAGGCACCGCTTGTACTGCCCACGACCATGGCAGCAAGGCACAAATGCCAACACCGCGGATTGCGACACGGGCAAACTTCCGCCCGTGTGAGCCGAAAGAACTGCTTCAATGTCGGCCTTGGCGCACGTGGCAGCGGAAGGGGACCGGGGCTGCGGGCGGCTCGTTCTCTCCGGGCCCGCTCGGCCGCGCCGGGGCCGCCAGCACCGCAGCCCGGGAGGTCGCGC